TTTTCATTTTAGCATAGAAATAGGGGGTCTAAGCATAATAAAATTTTAAGTAATTATAAAAAACAACAACAAAAAAATTTTAGCAGGCAAATTTGCCTGCATTATAGTTTAAGAGATATTCTGTAATTTGCTATGAGTCATCTGAAAGATCAGGCTTTTTAGTTGGGTTGACTGCTATGATTTCTGGAGGTAGAGGCTAGTTGAATTTGTAGATTAAACTGATATCATTGATGAAATTTAAGGCATCTTGCTTGTCAGTAATTGGATATGAGTATTTTTTTATAGTTTTAATTTTGCTAGAATCTTTGAGTAGGTGTTGTTTCACTTAGTAGTAGTCATTAGATAGGTTTCTAAAGGTATATTCTTCTTATAGTTCTTCAAAGATTTTCTGTATATTGCCGTGGATATTGTTTGGATCAAGTAAAAAATGTCTTCTGTATTTGGAACTGAGGTCTTGATATGCTAGAGGTAAGCAGACCTTTGGGAGAGGCAGCTCGAAGTATTAAGATAGTATTTTTGTAAATTCGTAGTATAGGCTCAGTTGTCTTTTGTAGTATCTCAGATCTCTCAGACATTTCCTGTCAGTAATTGGGAACAGGTCTCTAACAGCTGGGTGAAAGTTGGCGATATTAATAGAAAGAGAGTCAAGACTTGCAAAATAATCTTTTAGGAATTAATCAAACTGATAGATACAGTGGAGTGCTATGATAACAGCTTTTGTATATGCTTTATTGTTTATAGGCAGGGTAAAAAGCAGCATCTGTTGTATATCTTCTGAGATCTCGTCTGGGTGGTCTGGAAGTTGTTGTAACTTCTTAGCGAGAGCTTCTTAAACTGCTTTTTGAATATCCTCATAGTCTTTAAATATTGTATCTTTAGTAAATCCTTTGTAGTATTTTATAAGTTGTATGATTTGTCTGGGAGGACCTGTGTTGAAGTTTGTATTTGTTATATAATCTATAAAAATTTTTTGTCAGAGTTTTTAGTGAATGATATCTCATATTTCTCTGTTAGTTATAGTAATCTGATTTGTTTTTTTGTAGTTTTGTAGTACATTGTGGAATAGTTTCTCGTATTTTGTTTGGTGCTAAGGTGTAAATCTTTTTGCTCTGGTAAATGTAAGGAAAAATGCACAGTCTAGGTGTTTGAATTTGGCAAGGATAGCAGAAGGAATATATTTGTTAGTAGGTTTAGTTGATATTTTGTATTTTATGAATTCTTGAAGTTCTATATTAGATTAGAGGCTGGTAATCAGTTTGTGTAATGCCATGTGTTGGTGTCAAATAGCTGTATAATTTCCTTTGTTAGTTCTTTGTATATATGTTCTAGCTATTTCTGGGTTAGGTTTTCATCTATTTGCATTGTGTTGTCGCTCAGGTTTTGTTTAGCTACTTGACTATATGTGAGCATTTCCTGTTGTGCTAATATTGTTGAGGCTGTGTTAGTTTTTATTTTGTTGTTGTATTATGTATCATTTACTACTTTGGGATTAGTAGTTTCTGCATTCTCTAGGTCACCTTGCTCTGTTGCTGCATTGTTAATCTGGGGTTGGAGCATGGCTATATTGTTGTTGTCATTCATGTGAAGTGAGTTGCCAAAAATGGTAATATTAGAGTTGTTGTTGTGGAAGATTATCATTGTATTGTTGTTTTTTCTCGTGATTTCTGTTTAGATATTGTTAAAACCTGTTTGAACGAGTTGGTTGTTATTGTTGTTTTAGTGTGATGATATTATACTGTTTTTTGAAGGGGGTAAGCTGGATGGCACACTTTTGGTATTTGAGTGTAGTCTAGAAAAAAGTGTATATTACCTTTTTGCACTAGTATTGGTATAAATAGAGTCAAGCTTGGCTGAGACCTTCTTTTTGCCTTTGCTTTTGCTGGTGTTTCTGCTATTGTTGTCATTCATTTGGAGTTGTAGTTGTATTGATAACGTAAAGGGTACTATAGAGCCCAAGGGCCTCATATTTTCTTTGTTGTTGGTGGTGTGGTTCTTGCTACTCTGTTTTCTCTTTATATTGGTATTTAGTAGAGTTGTATAATGGTGTGTTGGTATATTTTGCAATCTTTTCTTCTATATAGTTAATTATTTATTTAGTAGCTTGTCAGTTTTGTTGTATCGTTTTTTGTTTTACTATAGAAATTGAGATCTATGGAAAAGAGTTTTTTATAGTATATTATTATTGGTTTGCTAAAATTTTAATTTGATTTGAAGATTTAAAATCAAATAATCAAATCAAATTCAAATCCAAATTTTTTAAATCAAATCAAATTCAAATTCAGATTTTTAAATCAAATCAAATTCAAATAAGTCTAATATTTGATTTGATTTGATTTTAAGGAACCCTACTTATATATACAGTGTATTAACCAGCTTCTTGTTTTGTATTGTGATGTATTTGCATTATTTGATAGTACCTTTAATTTTAATAGTATGGTCAATTTTTTTGGTACTATGTATTATCATTTTTTGGTGTTTTGCTGCTACTTCAGGTGTGCTATGTATTATTGTTTCTTGATGCTATGCATTGTACTAGTATAAGTTTCATCTAGATATAGAATCACTCTTAGTAAGTTTTTTTTTTACTTTCTTGTTTTTATTTGTTTTTTTTTTATATAGTATATTAACCAGCTTCTTGTTTTGTATTGTGATATATCTGTGTCATTTAATGGTGCTTTTGATTTTGATAGTATGATCATTTTTTGGTGCTATTTATTATTGTTTCTTGGTGTTTTGCCACTGCTTCAGGTATATAGGTTTCATATAGACATGGAATAACTCATGATAAGTTTTTTTTTTACTTTTTTGTTTTTTTTTGTTTTTTTTTTTTATATATATACAGTATATTAACCAGCTTCTTGTTTTGTATTGTGATATATTTGTATCATTTGATAGTATCTTTTATTTTGATAGTATGATAGTTTTTTGGTACCATGTATTATTATTTCTTGATGTTTTGCTGCTGCTTCAGGTATGCTATGTATCATCATTTTTTGGTTAGAGTTAGGGTTTGGGTTTGTGTTAAAATGTATATGCTTGTTCTTTGTGTTTTTTTTTGTTATATGATTTGTTTTTTTTTTTTTAAAGAAATTTGTCACTTTGTATTTTTTTTTAATTGTAATACAATTAATTTGTTATTGTATTCTTTTTTTTTTTTTTTTTTTAATAAAAAAATCTTAAAATCTTTAAAATTTTTTTATAAAATTTCAATTGATACTAATTGGCCGGTTGCAAACAATTAATTACGTATTCACATGATCAGTTTTAATTAGACAATCACAAGAATGCATGACTATACAGATATACAGAATTTTTAAACTTATTTTTTTTTATATTAAATACCAATTTTTTGAACTTATATAAATTTTAATTTTTATAACTTTTTCAAAACAGAATAAAAAAAATTCTTTACAAAAATATAGTTTATCTAAAAATTTATTAACTTGTTAAAGAGTTTTTAATTTAGCTTGTTTTAAAAAGTTATCACTTAAACTATATAGCATACATATTTGTATGCTAAAATTTTTCAAGATTTATTTTTGTACAATTACTCCAAATTTTATTATACCTTGACTCCATATTTTCTAAATTAGAATAGGAGTATATTACATGCTAGTTGTTATATATTTATTGTTTTGTGAAAATTTCTTAACAATATCTGAAAATCATCTAGGTAAGACTAGTCATTATATATAGTTTTTATGATCAAATTTAATATTAAAAAAAAACCTGCATATGATAATCATAAAGATTTCTTATGATCGTTATATGCAAATTTTTTTAATCATAAAATATTAAAGTTGATCAAAGAACTTTTGCAACCAACTTTACAGAACTGATGTTTGTAATAATTTTGGAGAGATATAATAACTCAAATACTCAAATCAAATAGTATATTTTACAGCTATTACAAGAATTTATACCTTTCATTTGAATCATTTTGAGTATGCCACACTATAGCAGTAGAGTTTTCCATATAACTCAAGTCTTTAGTATTACTACAGCCAATTATAGTAAAGATTTTTATAACAAAATTTTTTTTTAAATTCTACTTTCATTTTAATTATTTTAGTGTATATATTTGTATGCTAAAATCTACAGTTTAAGAGATAATATTTTAAAGGTTTTACTAATAAATATTGGATATATTTTACTGTTTGGTATTGTATAAAAATCTTTTGATTGATATAGTAAAGATTTTTTTATTATAAATATAAACTTTACTATATCAAGAACTTTTAATATAGTAAATATCTTGATATAATGAAGAAAACTTCTTAGCCTGACAATTTCACTATAAGAGTGACTTGTATTGTAACTATCTAGTAGATATAATAGCTATATAGTAAATATATTTAGCAAAAAATCTAGGTTTCTGCAAAGTATAGGTAAAATTGCAAGTTATAATGTTTATTGATGAATCAAACCAAAGTAGTATTACAGTTTAAATA